AGTTCAGGCCAACTACACCAGCGTCAGTTCAGGCCAACTACACCAGCGTCAGTTCAGGCCAACTACACCAGCGTCAGTTCAGGCCAACTACACCAGCGTCAGTTCAGGCCAACTACACCAGCGTCAGTTACACCAGCGTCAGTTCAGGCCAACTACACCAGCTTCAGTTCAGGCCGACTACACCAGCGTCAGTTCAGGCCAACTACACCAGCGTCAGTTCAGGCCGACTACACCAGCGTCAGTTCAGGCCAACTACACCAGCGTCAGTTCAGGCCAACTACACCAGCGTCAGTTCAGGCCAACTACACCAGCGTCAGTTCAGGCCAACTACACCAGCGTCAGTTCAGGCCAACTACACCAGCGTCAGTTACACCAGCGTCAGTTCAGGCCAACTACACCAGCGTCAGTTACATCAGTGTCAGTTCAGGCCAACTACACCAGCGTCAGTTCAGGCCAACTACACCAGCGTCAGTTCAGGCCAACTACACCAGCGTCAGTTACACCAGCGTCAGTTCAGGCCAACTACACCAGTGTCAGTTCAGACCAACTACACCAGCGTCAGTTCAGGCCAACTACACCAGCGTCAGTTCAGACCAACTACACCAGCGTCAGTTACACCAGCGTCAGTTCAGGCCAACTACACCAGCGTCAGTTCAGGCCGACTACACCAGCGTCAGTTCAGGCCAACTACACCAGCGTCAGTTCAGGCCGACCAGCGTCAGTTCAGGCCGACTACACCAGCGTCAGTTCAGGCCAACTACACCAGCGTCAGTTCAGGCCAACTACACCAGCGTCAGTTCAGGCCAACTACACCAGCGTCAGTTCAGGCCAACTACACCAGCGTCAGTTCAGGCCAACTACACCAGCGTCAGTTCAGGCCAACTACACCAGCGTCAGTTCAGGCCAACTACACCAGCGTCAGTTCAGGCCAACTACACCAGCGTCAGTTCAGGCCAACTACACCAGCGTCAGTTCAGGCCAACTACACCAGCGTCAGTTACACCAGCGTCAGTTCAGGCCAACTACACCAGCGTCAGTTACACCAGTGTCAGTTCAGGCCAACTACACCAGCGTCCCGTGGTTCTCCTTTTGTTTATCATGAGCTCACTGTCACTTTACAGCAGGATGAATTCTGATTGCCTGGCAATGTTTTTATTTTCCATCGTTTTCCGTCTGTGCGCAGGGTTCGCCATCGGGATGCCCATCTGTGAGTTCGAGCTGCTGAAGGACGCGGAGGTGCAGGAGTTCCGGCGGAACATCTTGAGTGTGTGTAGGGAGGCAGTGGAGGAGCGTGAAGGAGGAGGCGCACACACACAGGCACTTTACGTCTATCCTCCAAACCTTGAGTCCTCGGCCGACCTGCCACAGCACATCTGCAGCAAACTGGACAAAGGTGTGTGTGTTCGTTCCTCTCTCTCTCTCTCTCTCTCACTCCCCATCCGCTCCCTCTCTCTCTCTCTCCCTCTCTTCCCATCCCCTCTTGCTCACACTCATCTCTCTCTCCCTCTCTCTCTCTCTCTCTCTCTCTCTCTCACTCCCCATCCGCTCCCTCTCTCTCTCTCTCCCTCTCTTCCCATCCCCTCTTGCTCACACTCATCTCTCTCTCTCCCTCTCTCTCTCTCTCTCTCACTCCCCATCTGCTCTCTCTCTCTCTCTCTCTCTCTCTTCCCATCCCCTCTTGCTCACACTCATCTCTCTCTCTCCCTCTCTCTTACCCTCTGCTCCCCCCCTCTCTCTCTCTCTCACTCTCTCTTTTTCCCTCCGCTCTGGCTCCGGCTCATACTCGTCTCTCTGCAGGCCGTCTCATCGTGACCATCTGGGTGATCGTGTCTCCGTCAAACTCGAAGCAGAAGTACACGCTGAAGATCGCACACGACTCTCTGCCGGAGCAGCTGATCGCGGAGGCCATCCGGAAGAAGACGCGTAGCATGCATTTGTCCGCGCAGCAGCTGCGTCTGTGTGTGCAGGAGTACCAGGGCCAGTACATCCTCAAAGTGTGCGGCTGCGATGAGTACTTCCTGGAGAAATACCCGCTTAGCCAGTACAAGGTGTGTGTGTGTGTTTATGTGTGTGTGTGCGTGCGGCGCTCTCTACAGTAGCTGTGCTTCCATATACCTGTTCTTATGTGGGATATTGCACAAAAATAAAATCCTAAAATGCAGATAATAAACCTATTCACTCAAGGCAGATAATTAGAAGCCGTGTGAATGTAAAGCATCAGTGTGTGTGTGTGTGTGTGTGTGTGTGTTCAGTACATCCGCAGCTGCATCACTCTGGCCCGTCTGCCACACCTGATGCTGGTCAGTAAGGACAGTCTGTACAGTCAGCTTCCCTCCAGCGGGTTCCTGGCCCCATCCTACAGCCGGCGCACACCTCAGCCCAGCCCCTGCCCCGCTGGAGGAGACCCCGGGGCCCCGCGCTCGCTCTGGGCCTTCAGCACACACCTCAGGGTCCGGCTGCTGTGCGCCACATACGTCAACGTCAACATCAGAGACATCGACAAGGTGAGAGAGAATCAGTCATGCTCATCACTCGCTGTGATGTGTGTTTTACTCAACCGCTGTGTGTGTGTGTGTGTGTCAGATCTATGTGAGAACAGGAATATATCATGGAGGAGAACCGCTGTGTGACAACGTCAATACACAGAGAGTACCCTGCTCCAACCCAAGGTAACACACACACACACACACACACTCACACACACTCACTCACACCCACATACACACTCTTACACATACACATTTAATAATCTCTCACACACAGGTGGAACGAGTGGTTGTCGTATGACATCTTCCTGACAGACGTTCCTCGTTCTGCTCGCCTCTGTCTGTCCATCTGCTCCGTAAAGGGCCGTAAGGGGGCCAAAGAGGTGCTTAACCGTTCCTTACCTGTCAATCAGCATGAGTGACTCACTGAGATCTCACAGCGTGTGTGTGTGTGCAGGAACACTGTCCGCTGGCCTGGGGAAACATCAATCTCTTCGACTATAAAGACATGCTGGTCGGTGGTAAAGTGGCTCTGGGTCTGTGGCCGGTTCCTCACGGACTGGAGGATCTGCTCAACCCGATTGGAGTGTCAGGATCGAACTCAAACAAGGTGTGTGAGGAATATGGCCATCAGCTCTGTGTCAGATAATCCACTCTGCTCTCCATCAATTTACTGCAGTAGCTGTAAAGTCTCAAGAAACACATTATAAGACTCATCTAGACATTGATGCTCCTTTAGAAAGTATAATGCATTAACACAAATGACAAGCAACCAATTTCACATATACTTATATATGAAGAGTTCAGCACCTGCAGTCTGTGCACCTACCACTATGACACTTCAGAAAGTTGATATGATGCAGATTTAACAGATTTAATTTAGGCTTTAATTGACATTGACAACATTGATCTGTGAACATACACAGAAACTCAACTAAACATGCTTGACGCGCAAGAACAATCCTCTCGAGAAAGCTCAAACTTGCTGTGTAACACCAGAATGAATCTCATTGGTTCTCGCTGAAGCTCAAACATCTATTACACAGTATTTATTTAATTCAAGCTGTGATACTGGTCTCTGTTTTACTGATTTTTGAAATCTTTGTATTGTAACAACATTGTTCCCAGCAAAAATAAGTATTTTATGATATAAAGGCTGTCAAAGGTTTGGAATAATTATGGTTTTTAAAATGTTTTTGAATGAAGTTATGCTTCCAAAGTTACATTATAACAGATTATAACTGATCAGCATCTTAGAATCATTTCTGGAAGATCATGTGACACTGAAGACTGGAGTAATGATGCTGAAAATTCAGCTTTGTTCACAGGAATAAATGACACTTGACCATATATTAACATAGAACTCAGCCATTTTACATTCTAATAATATCTCATTGTTTTTACTGTAGTTTTGATGAAATAAATGCAGCTTTGGTGAGCACAAGAGACTCTTTCAGAAACAATACATGATTATCATAAAATAAAACAACTCATATCGTTTACCTCAGCAACTATATTCACATTGTTACCTTTGTGGTTTGTGTGCAGGAAACGCCGTGTGTGGAGCTGGAGTTTCCTTGGTTTAACCAGACGGTGGTGTTTCCTGATGAGCAGCAGATCGAGGAACACGCCAACTGGAGCATCTCTCGTGAGCTGGGCTACAGCTACTGTCTGGGGCTGGTACACACACTCACACACACTCTCTCACACACACTTGCACACCCACACACACAAACACAAAGAAACTCACACACACACACTCTCTCTCAAGCACACACACACACACACACATACTCTCTCTCTCACACACACACACACACACACACATAACTTATGCTGAATCTCTCTGCCCCATCAGAGCAGTCGTCTGGCGTGTGACAGCACTATATCGCAGGCAGATGCGGAGCAGCTGCGAACACTGTGCAGTCGAGACCCGCTGTATGAGCTTTCAGAACAAGAGAAGGACTTCCTGTGGAGACATCGGTAAACACACACACCATACATGTTATGGTAACACTTTACTCACCAGCCCAACCACTAGCCCAACCAGCAGCCCAACCACTAGTCCAACCACGAGTCCAACCAGCAGCCAAACCACTAGTCCAACCATGAGTCCAACCAGCAGCCCAACCACTAGCACAACCACCGGCCTAACCACTGGCCCAACCAGCAGCACAACCTGCAGCCCAACCACTAGCCCAACCACTAGCCCAACCAGCAGCCCAACCACTAGCACAACCACCGGCCTAACCACTGGCCCAACCAGCAGCCCTACCAGCAGCCCAACCACTAGCCCAACCACTAGCCCAACCAGCAGCCCAACCACTAGCACAACCACCGGCCTAACCACTGGCCCAACCAGCAGCACAACCTGCAGCCCAACCACTAGCACAACCACCGGCCTAACCACTAGCCCAACCACCAGCCCAACCACGAGTCCAACCAACAGCCCAACCACAAGCCCAAACCACTGGCCCAACCACCAGCCCAACCACGAGTCCAACCATGAGCCCAACCAACAGCCCAACCACCAGCCCAAACCACCAGCCTAACCAACAGCCCAACTACCAACCCAACCACCAGCCCTAACCAGCAGCCCAACCACTAGCTCAACCACAAGCCCAACCTGAATAATTTTCTACATTACTTGTAGGGGCATCATGTGCTGGTGCGCTGCGACAACACGACAGCTGTAGCACACATCAACCACTGGGGGGATGCACTCCTCCAAGCTTCATGCTCTTGCTCACTGGCTGTTAATATGGAGCAAGCTCTCTGTCGTTACGGGTGACCTATGTCCGGGGCAAACCATCTTTATGGGGTTTGGTGCCTCCATCCTCAGATAAGGGGTCTACTGTGGAGGAGGTTCGTCCAGACCAAAATGGTCCTGTGTTCTTTTCACAACAGGACTAGAATGCCCCATACGTGCCCATCCATGGCCCAACGTGCTGCTCTTCGTATTTCCTTCCCTTTGCCTCATAACGCCGACTCTGGCCAGAGAATAGAGCTTGCCCATGATTTTGATAGCTTCCATGTGGCTCTAAGAGATCATCCCTCTGCTGGATGCCTGGCCGTGGCCCCTCTATTACGCACGGATCTTCTGTCCCAACCAACGAGGGAATCTTTCTATAAAAATCTATATTGTTAAAAGCATTGTCTAAATGAAGGTGACATGACTTGACTCTGGGCCTGGCCCGTGAGAGGGCCAACTTAAACACATTGGGGCTCCCCCCACGTGTTATTGCCTTCCTGTATGCGACACATGAAGGTGCCTTTTATGCCAAGAAGCTTCCCTGCGTTCACGTGTGAGGTGATTGAGCTTTCTGCTATTCACCGTCCTCCTTTCTCCTCCACAGAGGATCAGAGTTTGCTGTTGGGCTCTGTTTAAGGGAGTTTCCTTGCAGGACATACATGTGTGCCGGCTGTGCCTCTTCCCATAATCTCCCCATAAGTCCCTGTGTGTCAGATATTACCGGCTCGATGTCACCGGGACCCCAGTAGCTCATTCTGTCCTGGGTTTGGGCTCTTCGTAGCCTTGTGCTCTTAGGGCCTCTTTAAGTCTGGGCTGCCTAGCCTAGCGTATTTATGTCACTGAGCATGTTTTGAACCTGCACCTGGTAGTGTGGCACCCTCACTTTGTGTAGTTTGTTACTTTGTGAAGTGTGACTGTCCTCTGGCTTTCAGCATTGTAGTGTATTGAACTGTCCATATCTCCCATAGGTGGATCTCCAACACGAGATGATGAAAGAGAACCACAACCATCCAATCAATACCCCACGAACAAACATACTTTAAATCTGCTGTTCAATTTACATCAACATTTGACTTCAGTGCCAAAAAAAGCATGAAGGGAAGATGAATCCTGTGTCTGATCCACAAATATGATTGATGTGTTTGCCTTTCAGCCATTACTGTGTGAATATTCCGGAAAGTCTTCCCAAACTCCTGCTGTCCGTCAAGTGGAACTCGCGGGACGAGGTGTCGCAGGTACGGCAGAGAAGAGGACTCACACACACACACACACCTCTCTCTGTCCTGCGGTTTCTCACGTATCTGTGTGTGTTCAGATCTACTGTTTACTGAAGGACTGGCCGCTCATGCAGCCCGAATCTGCGCTGGAGCTGCTGGACTGCAACTTCCCTGATCCGATGGTGCGAGAGTTCGCCTTACGCTGCCTCATCCAGGGCCTCACCGACGACAAGCTGAGTCAGTACCTGCTGCAGCTCGTGCAGGTGTGTGTGTGTGTGTGTGTGTGTGTGTGTGTGTTTCAGAGGTTTCATGTCGACATTTACTCCTGACATAAGTGTGTTTCTATGTGTGTGTGTGTTTCAGGTACTGAAATATGAGATGTATCTGGATAATCCATTAGCGCGGTTCCTAATAAAGAAAGCATTGACCAATCAGAGGATTGGACATTTCTTCTTCTGGCATCTGAAGTGAGTTCAGGCGTCAATCTGTGTGAATCTCATGAAAATACACCTGGGTCACAATCGGCCCAAATCAGAAAAAAAACGCACTTGAATCAGACTTTATTTTCATGGCACTCACACGTTTAGCCTCCAAACTCTCATAACTGTGATGTAAAAAACTCTGCAATGCAACTTTTTCATTTAAGCCAGATTCATGTATAAATTATATTCACTACACCATCGACCATGACGTATAAATACATTACAATTTACATAATATATATTTTTTGCAATAAAGTTACTATAATCAGATTTCTCTGGTGTGCCATGGACATGTTTTGTAACTCTGGTCCAGGTCCGAGATGCACAATAAGACGGTGTCGCGGCGCTTCGGGCTGCTGCTGGAGGCCTTCTGTCGAGCGTGTGGCATGTACCTGAAACACCTGAACAGACAGGTGGAGGCCATGGACAAACTGGTGAACCTCACGGACACACTCAAGCAGGAGAAGAAGGACGAGACGCAGAAGGTGCTTGTTATTGGGCCGTTTCAGCGTTCACAGGCACTCGCAGACAATCGGTCATGAATCACCAAACGTTCAAAAAGG